TTTTGAGAGCGGAGAAACTTTACGCAAAGTTCTCCAAGTGCGATTTCTGGTTACGGGAGGTCCAGTTTCTGGGACATCTCGTTAACCAGAAGGGGATATTGGTCGATCCGGCCAAGGTTGACGCAGTGATGAGGTGGGAGGTGCCGAGGTCACCTTCTGAGATACGGAGTTTCCTCGGGTTGGCAGGGTATTATCGGAGATTTATTAAGGATTTCTCCAAGATTGCGGTTCCACTCACCAGATTGACCCGGAAGGGTGTGGCATTTGCATGGGGTCCCGAGCAGCAGACCTCCTTTGAGACGCTTCGCCAGAGGTTGTGTGAAGCTCCAGTATTAGCCCTTCCGGAAGGTATGGAAGGTTTTGTGGTATTCTGTGATGCATCGATCCTAGGATTGGGAGCGGTATTGATGCAAAGGGTCATGTGATAGCTTATGCATCGAGGCAGTTGAAGCCTCACGAGACGAGGTACCCCACACATGATTTGGAGTTGGGGGCAGTGGTGTTCGCCCTCAAGATTTGGCGGCACTACTTGTATGGGTTCGTTGTACGATTTACACGGACCATAAGAGTTTGAAGTACTTGATGGATCAGCCTAACCTAAATATGCGGCAGAGGAGATGGTTAGACGTGGTCAAGGATTATGATTGTGAGATCTTGTACCACCCGGGCAAGGCTAATGTGGTAGCCGACGCGTTGAGTCGCAGGGCGGAGAGTACTCCCCTGCGAGATGTATGTTTGAGATTGACCGTGATAGCTCCAGTTCTGGACGCCATTCGTGGGGCTCAGGCCGAGGCCGTGCGTCCGGAGATGCAGAAGAGAGAGCGGGTTGTTGGGATGGTTTCTGAGTTTATATCGGATAGTCGAGGCCTTATGACTTATCAGGGCAGGATCTGGGTACCGTTTGTGGGCGGTACCCGTGCTACATTGATGGAGGAGGCTCATAGATCGAAATTTTCGATCCACCCCGGGGCCACGAAGATGTATTTGGATCTAAGGAAGGAGTATTGGTGGCCCTGTATGAAGAGGGATGTAGCATGGTTTGTCGAGAGGTGTTTGACCTGTCGAAGGGTAAAGGCCGAACACCAGAGACCGCATGGCAAGTTGCAGCCATTGGAGGTTCCCGAGTGGAAGTGGGAACAGATCACTATGGACTTTATCACCAAATTGCCGAGGACTGCCAGAGGAGTTGATGCAATTTGGGTGATTGTGGATAGATTGACAAAGAGCGCTCACTTTCTTGCCATCAGTGAGAGTTCTTCAGCAGAGAAGTTGGCGGAGGTTTACGTGAGGGAGGTTGTATCTCGGCATGGGGTGCCGATCTCGATTATTTCAGACCGCGATGTGCGTTTCACTTCCCGTTTTTGGAAGAAATTTCATGAGGAGTTGGGTACTAAGTTGCATTTTAGTACCGCATACCACCCCCAGACCGACGGTCAGAGTGAGCGGACGATACAGACACTCGAGGACATGCTTCGAGCTTGTGTATTGGATTTTGGGGGTAGTTGGGACTCGTATTTGCCTCTAGCGGAGTTTTCCTACAATAACAGCTATCATTCGAGCATTGGTATGCCGCCCTTTGAGCTGTTATATGGTAGGAGGTGTCGGACTCCCATATGTTGGGGAGAGGTTGGGCAAAGGGTAATGGGCAGTACAGAGATCGTGAATCAGACGACAGAGCAGATACAGCTGGTCAGGCAGAGGTTATTGACCGCTCAGAGCCGGCAGAAGAGTTACGCGGATAGGCGCCGGTCCGATTGGAATTTCAGGTCGGCGACTTTGTTCTCCTGAAGGTCTCTCCTTGGAAAGGAGTGATCCGGTTCAGGAAGAGGGGCAAATTGGGACCCCGGTTTATTGGCCCGTTTCGTGTGATCGCCAGGGTAGGCCGGGTAGCCTATCGGCTGGAGTTACCAGCAGAGTTGGGACAGATTCACAACACTTTTCATGTATCGCAGTTGAGGAAATGTATAGCCGATGAGTCGGCAGTGGTTCCACTTGAGGATATTCAGGTTGATGCGAGCCTGAATTATGCGGAGAGACCAGTGGCTATTAGGGATCGGAAGATCAAAGTTTTGAGGAACAAGGAGGTACCTCTGGTATTGGTTCAGTGGCAACATCGGAAGGGATCAGAGATGACCTGGGAGCCGGAGGGTATGATGCGGGAGCAGCATCCGGAGCTGTTTTAGAGCGGGACTTCGAGGGCGAAGTCCAGTTCTAGTGGGGGAGAGTTGTAACATCCGGATTTTACCAGGTATAATGTAAGTTTAATTGTGTTATATTGTGAGAGGGACTCGGCGAGTCGGGGCTCAGACTCGCCGAGTAGGGACGCGGGATTGATCGAGGGTGCGCACTTGGACTCGGCGAGTCCAGGGTATGGACTCGGCGAGTCTGCGCTGTGTTATGAAACCCTAAATCTCCGGGTTTGTGGCCTATTTAAGGGGCCTTATGGCCGTCATTTGCGCTCACCCAACCCCCAGAGAGTGTCCCTAGAGTTCTTGAGCGTTTTGTGAAGGAAGAGAGCCAATCTTGATCTTGTGTGTGTTGTTTAGCAAGAAGAAGGAGGCCCTAGGCAAGAGGAAGCAAAGGAGGTTGCTATTTCGTGGATTTGGAGCTTGGATCATCACTCTAGAGGTATTATTTTCGGACCATTTTCTGTTTGGTGAAACTTGATGCAAGTTAGGGCTTAATATGATCATTTATGGGGTGATTTGGTGCCCTTTGGTTCCCTCTTTGAGTTGAGACCATGGATCTGGATCCATAGAGGTCCAGAGGGCCTCACTCATCAAGCTTTATGGGTGGAAATGGAGTCCTTGGCCTTGTGTTGAAGTAGTAGAGTCAAAAACATCATTTGTGATCATGTAGAGGTTATTTATGCATCAAGATTGTGACTTTACGTGCTAAATAAGCATGGGGGGACTGGATCTATGGATTAGTGGACTGGATCTGGCCTTTAGAGCAAGATTGAGTCAGTGCATGGCTCTGACTCGCCGAGTCCGAAGAACAGACTCGGCGAGTAGCTTGAATGCTGCACGACCACTCAGCGAGTGGCCTCGCCGAGTTGGGATGAGTGAACTCAGTGGGTCAAGGGGGAGTCAGGATGGACAGGTGGACCGAGTCAAACCGGACTCGCCGAGTTGTTCTTGAGACTCGGCGAGTTGAGTCGTGGTGGCCCCACAACTCGTGCCAGGTGGAGCTCGTCGAGTTGGGAGGGGATGCTCGACGTGTCAAGAGAGGATTCCAGGGAAATTGGTGAATGCGCTCAGACTCGCCGAGTCGCTATAGTGCACTCGCCGAGTCCGGTCAAGTTGACCGTTGACCAGCGTTGACCTAGATTGTCCTGTTATGGTATGGTCAACCCTAGTTGGGAAAGTGTTAATTAGAGATATATTGTGCTATAGGGGGACTTCAGCTCGGCAGATCGAGTGTTTAGCGATTTCAGGGTTACGGTTTACCGAGACACACGAGGTGAGTCTTCTCACTATACTTTACCTTGAGTAGGTAACCAGAGTTATGTGATAGAGTAATTGTATGCTATGTATGTTATGTGTTGTACTGCATTACTTTTATGTGTTTGATGTTGTGCATGTTTACAGAGTTAGAACCGGAAGGTTCACAGAGTTAGAACCTGAGGGTTCACAGAGTTTGGGTGCACGGACCCACAGAGTTATAGCCTCGAGTGGCTAATATGTGTTATATGCAGTATTTTGGGAAACTCACTAAGCCCTGTGCTTACAGTGTTGATGTTATTTGTTTCAGGTACTAGTGACGACCGTGGGAAGGCGCCGGCTTGATCCGTACACACACGTTTGGAGCTTGACATTTTGATCTTGAGATTTTGTAATATTTTGTTGGACAATTAAAAAGGGTTGTTTCTATGAATATTGATGGAATTATGTTTTATAAAAATCGAAAATTTTGTTTGAAAAATCAGTGTTACAATCGTATCCCATGAATTCGATCTTAAAGCTAAGTAAACTCAAAAATCACAGCACTTGTGATTCCACTTGTTTGTAGACTTGTCTACAATCCATGATACGATAAATCATTTGATTGGAAATGTAAATGTAGTCATGAAATGCACATGCTTAGTCAAGATTCCCCTAATAAATATTCAAGTGCAATACAAAGTTATACATGTATGAATAATGTTCTTTCGTGGGTTATGTTTTGAAGAGAAGCAAGAATAAATCTCATAAAGTTATTAATCTCAGCAGGAGATGACGTCGGATTTGTTGTAACGAGTAAAGGAAAAATGAATCAGGAGGGTAACCAACTGTTGCATTTGTTCTCATTTGGTCCATTTCCTTTTTTGTACTCAATATACCATCAGACTCGTTGTTTGTGTTCACCATAACCCTTTGACTGATTATCACATGTCAAAAACCGGTCAAAAAGGTTATGATGAACACAAACAACAAGTTCGATGGTATATTGAGTACAAAAAAAACCAAATAAGAACAAACGCAACAGTTAGTTACCCTCAATAGTCATTTTCCGCGTTTCCCGTGATATTTAGGATGATAGGTTTACCAATCACATATTACCAACCAAAATTAGGACTTAAGCCTATACATAGATATATAGCACAAGGACCTAAACTATCAACTTAGTTTTTGTAAGAGTATTTAATTATACATAATAAATGAAGTGTTTATTTAACGTTAAGATGGTAACTTAGATGAGCATTTAAAATACTTGAATACTTATTTGTTTACTTAATTTATCCATTCCATTTATCAATAGTTTTTTAAGGAGGAAGTTTCCAAAAACTTGAATACTTATTTGTTTACTTAATTTATCCATTCCATTTATCAATAGTTTTTTAAGGAGGAAGTTTCCAAAAACTTGCACCCCCCCTCATTGAAATTGTCCATGCGTTTACATTTCAAATCGTCATCCACTGAGGAAACTGCTTCCTTACTCTCCCAGCAACTCCCTAGAACCACCACGCCGACCACCGTCACCTCCCATATATTTTCCATCTCCGATCAACAATTTCGTCAATGGAGATGACAGTGATCTCAGCTCAAGGTCTCAAGAAAACGTCGAGCTTATCATCTCTTTTCTCTCATCACCTCCGGCCTTTCATCACCCTCACCACCACCCCTCCCTCCTCCTCAGGCGGCTTAAACCAGAGCCCTGTGTACACAACGACGGTGGACCATGAAGGAGGGGTGAATCCCACTTGGGGCGATAAGTTTGATCTTTCTAATGTTATTGACTCTAGTTTTTTCTCTCATAAGTACTCATGTATATACCTACAATTATACACAAACCGTCTCTTACTGGGTCCTAGGTTTTTGGGATGGTGTGGGATTCCGGCGTCGGATATTGCCGATGGGTTTTCTCCGGCAGGAACTGCGAGGCAATTGAGTTACAGGTTAAGAAAAAAGGACGGTTCGAGGGGTCATGGTGTTGTTAATGTGGTTGTGAAGTTAGATAGTTCGCTTTTTCAGGCACGGAGGAGAGTAGATTCTGGTGTGCAACGGTTGCCGGAGGTGAGGTTTGACCGGGTGGCGATTGGAATTCCGGTGAAAATGTTGCCTGCGGTTAGTCATCAGGGAGTTCAGTAGTGTAATTATTAGTGGCCATATGTTTTGTTTTAAAGGTCACGATTTATGCATTAATTCTTAAATGAAAGTGTTTGGCTTATTTAGATGGACATGGTTGTTGATGATAAAAAAAAAATGCGTTTAAATTGTTTATTTAAGATTTGAAGTATTGTTTAATAAATTATTAAAGATACGTTCATAAAATATGATAAAATATTCAACTAAGTGTATTTATCGTTTGATAGATATTTAGAAATTAATGTACTGTTTAGTGTTTAATTATTTTGCTTTTGTAAAATTAACACGCTTTTCAAAAGGTTGAACTGGTGGCTACAACAATGTCTTTGATTCGTTTTAGGTCATTTCGAAATAAAGAGCAGAGTGTTTTAAACATGTTTAATTTGATCGACTTTGGATCTGATTCTCTCTTTAATACTAGTCATCTATACAAAATTAACATCTATTTATCTTTAGGTGTTATTTTGAAGGATTTCCTGAGCCAAACCATATATGTGAGTATTTATAAGCAAAAAACTATAAACAAATCTCTCAATCTTGCATGGTTATTTTAGATGAGTAGTACTGTGGAATATATTTTTGTTGAAAAGTCTTAAATAGAAAATACGGCTGAAAGCCGTGTTTTCCAAAGATCAGATAAAAAGATTAAATATGCTACGAAGTACGAATGTCCACAACAGGGACTTGTGGATGTGCATGCGTAAAAGACAGTATGTGTATTCTCAGTTTCAGGAATCAAATTAAAAAGTAGATAGATTCATCAATTTTTCTAAATATTTTCATCTACTACTATAGAACAATTTAGTAATAATAATACGTATTTTACGAAATAAACATCTTTTCTATGGAATGTGTGTTGAACACATAATTTGACAATATTCTCCCTAACAATTAATATTAATTTGACTAAATGAAATCTTTCAGAGCAATCTCACTTCAAATATTATTCAATAAATTACTATGAATGTGGTGAGCATAGGATTGGAATCCCTTTCAATTGATTAACCATGCCCTATTTATATAGGGATAAATACAAACAACGGATCCCCAAATATAGTGGGGGTATAATAGGAAATAATACAATATTGAGATATATAATATCCTAAAAGTATAATCGGCTAATATTCCCCCGCAGTTTGAGCCGGGGAAGGACAAACGCTCAAACTGGATCGAAACTGTTGATATAAGAAACGTGGTAGCCCTTTTGTGAAGATGTCTGCACACTGCAAGGAGGCCGGAATGTGAAGAACCCGAACATGGCCAAGACGAACCTTTTCTCGCACAAAGTGTATGTCTATCTCCACATGTTTTGTGCGCTGGTGTTGGACTGGATTCTGAGACAGGTAGACAGCAGATACATTATCGCAATAAACAACTGTAGCCTTGGGAAGGGGAACACAAAGCTCGAGAAGGAGATTTCGTAACCAAGTGGTCTCAGACACTGCATTAGCAACACCACGATATTCGGCCTCGGCGCTGGAACGAGATATAGTGGGTTGGCGCTTTGAAGACCAGGAAACAAGATTATTGCCAAGAAACACACAGTATCCAGAAGTAGATCGTCGCGAGTCGGGACATCCGCCCCAGTCAGCATCGGAGTAGGCAGTTAGCGAGTTGGCTGAAGATGCAACTATTTGTAGACCATAGTCAATCGTACCTTGTAAATAACGAAAAATCTTCTTCATGAACTGAAAATGTGGCTCACGTGGGGCATGCATGAAGAGGCAAACTTGTTGAACAGCATATGCAATGTCTGGTCGAGTAAAGGTCAGATACTGGAGGGCACCTGCAAGAGTGCGGTAGAGAGTGCCATCAGCAAGAGGTTCACCATCAGTAGCACTAAGTTTCTTGGACGTATCCACTGGTGTAGCACATGGTTTACAAGAGGACATAGCAGCTCGTTGAAGGATATCACGAGTATAAGAGGCTTGTGACAGAAAAAGACCATGTTCATTGCGAGTAACCGTGATACCCAGAAAATGGTGAAGTGGACCTAGATCAGTCATAGCAAATTCCTGAGACAAAGAGGTGATAATGCTGCGGAGAACACCAGGGTCAGAAGCAGTTAATATTATATCATCGACATATAGTAATAGGTAAGCACGATGGCGACCATTTTGATAAATAAATAACGATGAATCACAAATACTACTTTGGAAACCCCGAGATGTGATAAATGAAGCAAAACGAGTATACCATGCATGCGGGGCTTGCTTAAGCCGATACAAAGATTTCCGTAAATAACAAACATGGGATGGAGACCGGGTATCAACAAATCCTGGGGGCTGGTGCATGAAAACAGTCTCATGGAGATCGCCATGGAGAAATGTGTTTTTGACGTCTAACTGATGTATCGGCCATGCCTGCGAGACTGCAAGACTAAGAACGGTTCGTATAGTAGTTGGTTTCACAACCGGACTAAAGGTATCGAGGCAGTCAATACCCACTGTTTGTGATTTCCCATTAACCACAAGGCGTGCTTTATAGCGGTCAAGCGATCCATCCGCTTTAAACTTGTGGCGAAACAGCCACATACACCGAATAACTGGGCTGTCGGTCGGTCGGGGAACGAGTTTCCATGTTTTATTTACCTGTAAAGCTCGAAATTCATCTTCCATGGCTTGTAACCAATTAGGGTCAGACATGGCGGCAGAAATTGACTTAGGAATTGGAGAGATGGGTGGAGTAGATGAGCTATGAAGGTTTAAACGGATGATCGGTTTGATAACACCTGCTCGTGCACGAGTAGTCATAGGATGAGTAGGAGGCGGGGGGCAGGGTTGAGGTGAGGTGGATTGAGGTGGGGTGGATGTGGGGGAAGGTGTTTCGGAAGGGAGAGAGCTTAATTGAGCAGGTGGATGGGTGGTGGTTGATGGTTGAGTGGGGGTAGTAGATGGTGTAGGAGCGGAGTATGGAAAAACATGAAAATGTTGGTCATCGAAAATGTCTAAGGAGATGGATGGGGAAGGGCTATTGGCAAAGGGGAAAGAGGTTTCGTCAAATGTAACATGACGGGATAGATAAACTTTGCCGGTGGAAGGATCAAAGCACCGATAACCCCGAAAGTTTTCCGGATATCCAAGGAAAACACATTTAACAGAACGTGGTTGGAGTTTGTTAGATTGAGTGGCAGCGATGTTGGGATAGCAAGTGCACCCGAAGGTGCGAAGATGATCATATGATGGTTGGCGACCGTAAAGAGAGAAGGCAGGAGTAGAAAAGTTGAGGTGTTTGGTTGGGAGGATGTTATGTAGGTAGGTAGCAGTGTGAAGAGCTTCAACCCAAAAGGATTGGGGAAGAGAGGCGTGAGTGAGAAGGGTTCGGATAATGTCGTTGAGGCGACGAATCATCCGTTCGGCTCATCCATTTTGTTGGGATGTTTGAGGGCAAGAGAAACGAAAGACAAGACCATGAGTTTGGGCAAAAGACTTAAATTCATTATTGTCAAATTCACCACCGAGATCGCATTGGAAAGACTTAATGGTTCGGTTAAATTGAGTTTGGATGAGTTTATGAAAATTTTTAAAATTGAGAAAGGTGTCAGATTTGTATTTGAGAGGGTAGACCCATACATAATGAGTGAAATTATCGATGAGGACCATATAATATTTGTAGCCAGATTTGCTTAAGACTGGAGATGTCCAAAGATCACAATGTATAATATCAAAGGGTGCATAAGTAATAGATTGTGAATCATAAAAAGGCAATCGAGTATGTTTAGATAGTTGGCAAGCATAGCATAAAGTTGTAGTTGTAGGTTTATTACAAGAAAGTGAAAATTTAGAACGAAGTAAATCTAAAACAAGAGCGCCTGGATGACCCAAGCGAGCATGCCAGCGATCGTGAGAGGATGCAAGGAGAGCAGACGGATTGGATGGTGTCGTGAAAGGGTAAAGATCGCCCGTGCTATCATGCCGAGAAAGAAGAGCTCCAGTCTGAAGGTCCTTTATAGAAAAACCATATGGGTCAAATTCAACAGAAGCTTGATTATCGATAGTGAATTTACGAACAGATAAAAGGTTTTTAATAATGGAGGGAGTAAAAAAAATATTTTTCAAGGCATATGAATGAGATTGGGTGGTGTAAGAAGAATGTCCAGACCCATGAACTGGAATACTAGAACCATTTCCAACAAAGATCGAGGTTACAGGAGAAGTAATCATGGGACTTGAGATCTTACCCTGGTTAGATGTGAGATGGGTCGAGGCGCCTGAGTCCATGTACCAAGACTGATCATTGGAGTTAAGATGGACTTGTTGCATTGTTTGTGCCAAATCTGATGGACTATAGTCAGAATAACCAGCAAACTGGGGACCGGGAGCAACAATCGGACCAGTTGGTCGCATTGTAGGTGGTCCGTTGGGCCTCTGTTGCGGCGTTGGATCGACTCCAAGGATTGGTCTGAATGTGTGATTAGTCCAATGACTTGCAGGCTGGGTCGGACCATGTGAGGGGTATGGAGATGGCGGTGGGTTCCATGGCTGTGAGTTGTTCCAATGTTGTTGACGCCATTGATTTCCTTGATTCCAATTTGGTTGGCCTCGACCTCCACGACCCCGGAAACTTCTGCCACGACCACGACCATGTGGACCTCGACCACAGCTGCCTGCACCTCTACCTGAGTAGTTGTTGAAGGTGTGAGTTTGACCATGTTGACCGGGTGTGGAATTTTGAGATGATCGGTCATCAGAAGAAGCAGCGAGGACTGTGTGAGTTTGATTTTGCCGAGCTGTTTGTCGGTGTTGTTCCAGTTGCAGCATGCTACGAGCTGTCTCCCATGATGGAGAGCTTTGATTGATATACGCGCCGACCACATCAAACTCTGGTGGTAACCCGCGAACCATCTGCAAAACAAGTCTTGCTTCAGTGACAGGATTGTCAACATCTTCCAGTTGGTCTGCTAGATCTTTTAATTTTTGACAGTAGGCTTCCATGGATGAACACGTAGCCAAGGTGAGATTAGAAAATTCTTGTTCAAGGGCAGCAGCACGTGATCCCTTATT